AACTAAGAGTTTTAGCGCCATTTGTTTTACTGTCACGATTTATACAATTTTTATTTCGATAACCACTTATGTCATATACATATACAGGCTATAAGGTTCTCTCTGTACATGGATAAAGAAAGCCTTATAAACTGTTTATACAATAAAATAATAATGATTGTAATGATGGTAATAAGTAATGTAAAGTCTCTTATTGATTGGACTCCCATTTAAATCTCAAATTGCTTACAGTGGTTAGCGGAAAAGAAGCGTTTAGAGGAAGAAGCCGTGGAAGAGGCCCTTAGACAGAAGGAAGAAGAGGAACGCCGTGAACAAGAAGAGAAGGAGAGGAAGAAACAAGAAGAACTCGCCGCGCTTAAGGAGAGGAAAGAAAAGGAGGAACGGTAATATATTTCAATTCCAATACTTATATTTTTTAGGAAAGTCTCTTATGACAAATTAGATCATGCAGTGACTTTCTTATGTGTTGAATTATAATAATTAATTAAAAGTGATATGTTTAATTTTCAGTGAACACGCGGAAATGCTTGCCCGCGTTCAAGCAAAGGCTCGCGCCAAAGAGGAAGAGATCACTCGCAAGTTGGAGGAGCAGAAGACGACCACTCAGTCCACCTGGAGACGGAATAAACCTGGCGAAGCTTCAGTTGAAAAGAAGGAGCCTTGGAGACCTTGTAAGTGAACCACTTATAAATGTATTATTATTTATTTTATACATACAATACAATTCTACAATTATCCTTAATAAAATTGTATATTAAATTTAGAATAAGATACGCGTTTGGGTGGGTACGTGATTGGGTTTTTAAAAAGAAAAGAAAAATATGTTCAGGTTCGCAAATGTCGCGATCTGTGAATAATCTATTAAATAATGATTTTCTTACATTGTAGTACTTTCTTTACATTAATAGAATGTCGAAACAAAGCTTCAATATAAGCATATTTTATCATTGAAAATTCAATACAATAATAATGTTTATTTTTACAGCTCGTCCCCGCGACGGTCCGGCCCGATCGCCCGAGCCTCGTGGAGACCGCTCCACGGGAAGAGACGATCGCCCGCCGAGAGATGACAGGTAATTTTTACAAGTTTAATAGTAGTTTAATTGTAGTCGGTACCTGGAATTTTTCTTTAGTTAAACAGTAATAAACTCTAATGATTACACGAACTAGTAAGATAGTAAAGTCAGTAAGTAGTAGTAGTTATAGTAAATTTGTATGGAAAACTAGAGTTCTACTTTATTGCGATGTAATTTATATACACATCTTTTATTAACGGATACGTTTATACTTGAAAAAACTATTGTTAAGTTCTAAAATCCTAGCAATCGTTTGTTACTAAAATTTTATAATATTTTACTTGTTGCATTTGTATTTGCTCAGAATATACAAATAATTAATAGAAAAATGAACAACCATGAAATTGTATAAAGAAATGGGTTTCTTATATTATGTTTGAAACATCTTTTTACATCCAATTGAAGTCTTTACACTATTATTCTTATATGCGTTCTGTTTTATAATCTATTTGTTCTACATGTGATGCAGAATAATTCGAGATTAGCCTTATTTTTGTTAACAATTTTCTATTTACAGCCGCCGTGACGATAGAGCCCGTGATGACCGCGGTCCAAGGGAAGAAAGATCACGAGAAGAGAGACCGCGAGAAGAAAGACCACGAGATGAGAGACCACGTGACGAAAGACCCCGAGATGATAGACCTAGGGATGAAGGAGCATGGAGATCCGTCAACCGCGAACCAGAGAGGGACAGGTATACTTCTAACATCACATCTAGTCATTAATTTAACGATCTGTTTTCTCTCTGATTTTCTTACGTCAGCAGACTTTTTACCAATGTTCTGTTTAATTTTAATCTGAAATATGTTGTACACCCTCTAAATCAGAAACATAACCTTGACGTACTAGTACATATAAAAATGATGTACTTAATTAATAAATGAGACATAAGCGTTAATTGTTTTTGTAAAGTGATGCGAGAATTTAAGAATAAGGGGATAGCTGTTTAGGCCTCGATCACAAGATGTTAATGGTATTAAAACTAACATTTTTAATTTGCAGGCCTCGTTACACGGGTCGTTCAAGCGGTCCCCCCGCATCTGACAGCAACAGCTGGCGTCGTGGACCCGCGGAACCTCCACCGGCTACTTCCGTGAGTTAAATTATTTGATTAGTTGTAAAAATACAACTAATGGCCTTATTTAATTATATACCAAAGTTAATTTTGTAAATCAATCAGTATACTTTGTTTAATAATTTCGATTTGCTATTTTAAACTTAGGGCTAGTAAAGCACTCCATCAAACTGTTTTGTCGTAAATAATGTGAAATCGGTTCTTTGATCAAATGGCAATTTGATTCCAGGCGGATTTTAAAATTACATTATTTAAATTTCTATAAATGCGTGGTGCATAACTAACATTGGTAGTTAATTATTTTGTGAATGGTTTAATGTTAAGCAAATTTGACTCTAGAGCTAGGTAGCCCCAAGTAGCTCCTTAGGCCTTGAATGAGAGTTCTGTCTGATATCTTTGTTCACTGTATCTCCTGCGTAAATAGAGATTAGCCGTATCTGAAACATAATCTGTATGAATAATTTAATTAATTAATTCAGGAGCGCTCGTCAACATGGCGATCCAAAGATCCCGCCCGTGACGATCGTCAACGTGACGCGCCGCGTGACCGTGAAGGATTCCGTGACCGCGAAGCACCGCGTCGCGATGACCGTGATCGCTTCCCTCCCAGACGCGATGACAGGGATCCGCCAAGGAGGGACGACCGGTAAGGAACGGATACGGCATTTTATATTTTTTCCGTTAATAGTAAAGCCTATGTAAACGGATACTTTAAATAAGTTCGTAATTCAGACGCTTTTGGAAAATAACGTATCTTAATTGATTTATTTGACTTTAGTTTTATTTGTAGTGATACAGGTTCTCTCTTATTTATAAAAAATAATCAGTTAATTGCACTCTTCTAACAAAAATATACTATTTCATTCCTAGTTCTAATATGTTAATTATATTGTTAAGCGTGAACATTATTTTCACAGTGATGCTCCAAAACGTATGGATCGAGACGGACCGCGTCGTGAAGATCGTGACTCCCGTCCACCGCCACGCCGGGAAGAGAAACGTAAGTTACTAACGAGATATCATTAGTATACTTTTTGTAAGCTAATGAAATAGGTCACTTCACACAAATTAATTATTTAATATTTGGTTGCTTTCTACAATAAATTCAATTATATCAATAGATATAATAGAAGTAGTCTACTAGATCTTAAATTAGCTCTGTATTGTAAATTCGAAATAAATTTTATAAGGTCTAATTAGATTATTTATCTTTTGTCAGATATTTTTTATACTTATGTTGGTACCTTTAAAATGGGTAAATTATAAAATATTGTTATTTTTCAGCTCGCGACCCCGATTCGTGGCAACAAGTCACAAAGCGTTAAGATAACTGGATTTTATTCATTTAACCCAAAATATTAATTTGTGTTTTAAATATATCGTTATATAATGTCCTGAAAACAAATATTTTGCGCCATCTCTAGGTAATATGGGGCCAAGCTTTGCTATTTTGTATTATTTATGTTCCCACATTTCGTTCGACTGAAGTAATTGTACAAATGTACAAACTCGGTCAACGATTAGCGGAAAAATCTAACAATTTATAAGTCTCGTTATAAATTTTATTTTTAAACAATTAGTAGAGAATGTCTCAAAATCTTGTCACATAATACTTACTTTTACAGTAACAATTGGATGAACACATTTTTTTTTGTTCATAGAGAGCAGAGTTTGGTCCAAAAGCTTAACAAATAGTACACGCGCAATAGCCTTATCTCAGACTGTTCTAGAAAACTAATATGTGTAGTTACATGTAGTTTAGTATTTTGATATCATTATCAATTTGTATCGATATGCACTTTTCGTAGAGGGATTAAAATATGCTTATAAAATGGTGTTTTTTTTTCACATTTCGTAAAACTAACATTTTTGCCATATGAGTTGATAAGTGTGTAAGAAGTCAATAAATGATTAATCATTTTCTGGATTTTTTAACCAAACATTGTTTTATTTCTTATGGGGTTTCAAGGGATAATGCTACTAACTATTATGATATTGACTTTGAAAATCTTCTAATGTACTGTATGAAAATAAATGTTCCATCAAAATTGTGTTTTATTTATATATAGAAACTTGAAGTTTTAATTATAGAACCATCCTTATTGCCTACCTAGCCTAGATACCTTATCTTAAAAGATATTAGATATATTTTAGTACAGGTAACAAAACCTATCGTATCAGCTGTTCATTTATTTAAGCCTAGAACTGTATTTTCTAGCATACAATGTTTTATTTAGACATTTTAATAAATTATTAAGTTTTACATGACCCTCATTTGATTCTTCCCTTTTATAAATGGTTAATTTTTATTTACTGGCAATACTAATATCCATGACAGCGACCCTCTTACCGCCCAAGAAAAGTATGTGGCAGTGCCATACTTTTCTTCTGTTTAGATGGCAAAAATACAAGTTGTAGAAGACGTCCAATGAGTAACCTATTTTTGTTGACTCTTGGGAATTACAATGGATTTTACATTGTGTGCCTATATTTTAGCAAGACTTCATAGACAAGATTTATAATGATACATTCTTTTGAAAATTTTGAAGTCTTTATTTACAAGCTACTTGGCCGACAGTAGTACTTAAACTGTTTGCGTTACAAGAAAGAATTATAAACGTTATAAATAAACCAAAGTTTTAACTCTACTTACAAACACTTTTAGAGAATCTGAAGATTTCTGCTTATGAAGTTTGACACGACTTGATAGCGTTCATAATTACATTTTGACGTCTTGTATACATAAGGCAGCACCAGTTTTACTAGTTTTTAATGATATTTAACTTTAAATAAAATTATTTTTTTCTTTTTTATTTTATTACATTGTATAAAAGATATGCTTTACAAAATTATTGTGAGCAAAGTGGACAGGCGAGAGTGCCCATTGGATCCCAGGCGGGCAGCACCACGGCCTTCTTTTTAAATACATCCAGAACTTCAGTTGGTACATACTTCTTGTCTACGACCACCTGGAAATATTTGCAATGATAATCACCAAGCTTACCACGATAAAATAGGGATTCTATTTCCATATTTTACTGCACAATAGCGACACTAGCGCTACTGTAATAAATGAATTGCATCGAAATTGGGTTTTGCCTTTAGAGTGCTACCTGATTACTAAATAATAAAACCATAATTGAAATCGGCATTGACATTACAGAGTAACCACCATGAATATTTTTGACTGAAACTTTGTCTTTGATTTTACTTTAAATCTTGATAAAGATAAAACTAATGTAAAAAGAAAGACAATTTTATATAGCTTAAAAGAATTAATAGAACTCACCATCAAATTTACTTCTATAATTTGTAGAATTTTCTCACATTACATCTTTCTAGATAGGATAATCTTTCCCTATGCGAGTCGTATTTTTGATTTGTTTTCTATATAAAATATACTAACCTCGAACACAAACTCCCTAAACCACGGTTCAGTGAGTAGTAAGTATCCCTTGTCGTATTCCTTATCGCTATACGAGTTTTCCACTCGGAACTTACGAGGGTTGCCAGCCTCCTGGAAATAAATATTCAAGTAATCTGAATATAATATCTATTTAAGCTAAGCAATAACAATTGCAAAGAAGAAATATATTAAAATTTTAAATTGCATATTTATATTTCTTTATCTAGTTTATTGTTTTTCATTCTATTGTATTATTTATTTCTATGTATTGTGTTTTTGAAGTGAAACTTCTTTAGGCGCATGAGGGTAAATAATTAACGGAACGTCACGAAAATGTGCAGCGTTTTTGTTGCAGAAAAGGGAGAGAGAGAGAGCGATTGAGAGAGAGTGAGAAGGGTGAATTACCTTATAGAAATTATATTTTTAAAATAAAAATTTCGTAAAGAGAATTTATGAAATATTAGTATACTGCTCAAAACAATTAGCGGAACAAGATTTTTCTCCTTTCTATTGCTTAAACTAAAATTAGATTTAAATTAACTTGTACGCTATTTTTTACCTTGTTAATTTGTTAAATACTACAATTAATAAAAAAATTCAATTTGTGTTTTTTTTATTAAAAAAAAATTAAAATGTGCATTGTAGACGAAAAACAAAGTGACGTCTTTGAATTTTCATTACTTTCAAATCACAGAAAACACATTTTAAGTAGTTTTTTTCAATCTTTTGAGTATTAATAGAAATTGAAGTGAGCCTTTTGAGTATTGTTATTCATTGAAGCGAGTGAGTTTAGGTCATAATGCCAGATCTGACTGAATTGCATGTCTCCCGAGCTATCGCTTTGCTTGAAGAGGGTCGAACTATGCGTTATGTAGGAAATGATCTAGGAGTAGCCCCTTCTGTTATCTACAGACTTTGGAAGCGATACCGTGAGACGGGAGAATACTCACGAAGGCGTGGTCAAGGTCGAAAGAGAAAAACTACACGTTTGCAAGATCGCTACATCGTCAACTGTGCTTTACGTAACCACACCACAACTGCAAGAGATCTACAAAATATACTAAGGACGGCTACTGGTGTAGAAATTTCCGACCAGACGGTAAGAAATAGGTTGTTGGAAGCCAATTTGAGATCACGCCGACCACTTCGGGCTGTGCGTCTAACAATTCAACATAGACAAGCTCGCCGACAGTTCGCGCAAAATCACGCTAATTGGCAACTTCGACATTGGAGGCCAGTGCTTTTTACTAACGAATCACGATTCCGTCTAACACGTTGCGATGGTCGTCTCCGTGTTTACAGACGCCCAGGCGAGCGATACAGTGCAGCAGCAGTCCAGGAATATGACAAATTTGGATGTGGCTCTGTGATGGTTTGGGGCGGAGTTAGTTTGGACGAGCGCACAGATCTCGTCGTTGTTCCCGGGCGCTTGTGTGCTCAAACTTACATTGAAAATGTGCTCGAAGATCATGTTTGGCCCGCAGCATATGGTATGGGCCCAGATTTTCTTTTAATGCAAGATAATGCCAGGCCGCATACTGCAGCCATCACGTCAGATTACTTACGCCAGCAGGAAATCCGTGTAATGGAGTGGCCTTCCATGAGCCCTGACCTAAGTAAATCCAATTGAACACATTTGGGACTTGCTTGACAGGCGCATCCGGAAGCGTCCGATTGCACCTCAAACACTGCAGCAGCTCACTGAAGCGTTGATTGAAGAATGGGAGCGAATTCCACAAGAAGATATTCGGAGGATCATACGAAGCATGCCGCGTCGTTGTCAAGCCGTGATTAGGGCTCATGGAGGCCACACACGTTACTGAAAGTCACTAAAGACGAATATTCAAACGATATAAGAATATTTCTTTGATGGACCTTTTTTATCACCAATTAGTTTTTCGTCTACAATGCACATTTTAATTTTTTTTTAATAAATTTTTTTTTATTAATTGTAGTAATTAACAAATTAACAAGGTAAAAAATAGCGTACAAGTTAATTTAAATCTAATTTTAGTTTAAGCAATAGAAAGGAGAAAAATCTTGTTCCGCTAATTGTTTTGAGCAGTATATTTTATGTAAAATAATTTATTGAAATATCAAATGACGAATTGTAAATTAAATGCCACGTGTTTTTATTTATTACCAAAGAAATAAATTTATAATTTGTAGTAATTTTCGACACTTAATATGTTAATTAATGACAATTAAATTCATTAAATTCCTAACATATCTTCCTATTTCCCTCCCTCTAAGTCTCGGAAATCTAAAGTTTTAGATTTGTATAAATATGAACAAGAGTTAAAAATTAGTTTGCCAAAGAAATTTCACTTCTGACATGTGTACTTTGTACGCACGCACTTTTTTTATGGAAGTGTCTGTATGTGTTTCATAGTGTGCATTTTTTAAAATAAGAAAATATAATTCTGACGTAAAATGTGGGAATTCATATTAGGTGGAGAAGCAGCCAGGAGCATCATCATGTGCTATGGTGCAGTCGTCTGTACTGGTTTAGTAAAACGTTCCAATCAAACAAAATTTCGCTAGACAGTATTTTAATTCGTGTGATATGTGTGATTGTTTTGATAAATAAATAATATAATTAAATACTCACGTCTGTACCCACGGCCGTGAAGACCATCGCGTGTGTCATACAGGAGTCCCCGTACAACAGTCTGTCAGCTTTTTGGAGACCTATTTGGACCTCTGTGTTGAACACCAACTTGTAGTCTTGGCTTAAAAGAAAATATTCAAATGTGATTTCGTTTTTCAAAACTCATTTGGCTTTATAAAACGTGGTTACGATATAAGGCCGTTTGGGTACTGTTATGAAATGTTAACTAATTACTAGAAATATAAATTTTGGTCTGCAATTGATTAGATTAAAAATTAATTGAATATCTAAAAAAAAATCCGAAGAGGAAAACTCAATTAAGAAAAAAGCGTATCTTCATTATACAAAAATAAACACCTCGCAGTGTTCTGCAATCAAGGATGAAGTTTAATGTTATTGAAACAAAAAAAGGTCAAAGCTTTTCAATTCTACAAACTTTTTACCTCAAGATATTTTTATGAAATATTCAACCTGTCAGATGTCAAAATATAGTTATTTAATTAGATAACGTATGAAATTTGTATAAAAAACATTAAATTAACAGCGACTTCTCAAATCAAAGGCGTAAACCAGAACAACTAAACTCTCCGCCTCTCTTTTTATCTATTTTATTTGACTAAATATATGTAAGGAGATTCAATTACACCTTGCTCCGCACGACATAAACCATAATAAAAAAAACATTTATCCTCTAGAAGTAGGCATGATCAAGCACTCATAACTTTAAACTTGTTATAAATTAAAAAAAACTCACGCGTCGAGATCTTCCAGCCCGTTTTTCCTCTCAAATCGTTTGGACACCTCACAACCAAACCAAACCGCTTCACCACCTGCTATACTATCTTTTACAACTCTAAAACATTTTCAAATATTAAAGAAAATAGTTTCAACTATAATATAGGAGGCATTTAGGAGAATAATTACTTCATTAGAGTCTCGATTGGTTGGTTGTTGTATGCCGTCTCTCTTCCTCCCACAACGTTGCCCAAACACTGCAGCGTGTAAAGGCCACCGAACGGATTCGTTTCCCGTGGATCGTTGACTAGACACACCTATAACACACGAAAATTAAAAAAAAAAAGTGCATACACAGTACACATGTCAGAAGTAAAACTCCTTTGGCAAACTAATTTTAAGATTGTTCGAGAAGAACAAGAAAGTCTTGTTCTTCTCGAACAATCTTAAACTTTACGAGACTTAGAGGGAGGGATATTTTAGGAATTCAATCAATATATTTTTTCAGTAAATTTTTTGATAATAAAAAAACACGTGGCATTTTAATTTACAATTCGTCATTTGAGAATTCAATAAATTATTTTGCATAAAACATAAATTCTCTTTACGAAATTTGAATTATAAAAATCGAGAATTTTAAAAACCCTCTTCTTCGAGAAAAACCCTGCACATCTTCGTGACGTTTTCGTAAAAATTTACCCTCATGCGCCTAAAGAAGTTTCACTTCAAAAAACAAATTTAAATACAGAAAATGGCGTTTAAAACCATACCTTATCATCTACGTTATACAGTGAACGTATGTGTTGATTGTAAAACTCTTGCGGTGTGAGTGGTCCGAAGTTTTTATACGCTTTCTCTTTGTTGTAAAACTCAAAAGTGAATTTATCCGGAGGAGTTCCTGAAGTAGAATATCTTTTATGTAAAACATTATCTCGATATAAATGAAAGGACATTTAGAAGAAATAGCAGTCTTTTCTCGTTTCTCTCTGTCAAACTGTGATTACGCTGAGAGAAAAAGAGACAGAATAGTTAGTGGAATAAGACTGAATTTTTATGAACTTTATAGGTATGATCCTGAGAAGAGCAAGCCACCTTTTTTTATAGAACAGGGGGCAAACACGACCCATTATAACACCGCCGCCAATGGACATTAACATTGCCGGAAAGTTCACAAGTGCGTGGCCGGCTTTTAAGAGTTAGCACGCTCTTATCATGAAGGATTTTTTCAGTTATTTTTTTTCACAAACAATGCGATAGAACCAAGGGTGGATGTAACCTTTGTCATTTAGACTAAATGTCTTTAATTTGACCTTCAAATGAATCTAGCTGAGATTCTGGTTAATTTGTAAATGATAATAAAAGCGATATTACCTAAGCAAGTGCACACGATGTGGTATATAACAGCGATCTGTTTGTCCACGGTTGCCTGTACCTCCTCATCCGATGATTTATTAGACACCAATTCACGCAACTCCTTAGCGAATTCGCGTAACTGAAATAGTTAAACTTATTATTTACTGTTAATGTTTTTAACACATTTAGCAAAGAAGAATTATTTAAATATTCGATGTGATATTAGACACTGGTATTGGCAATAATGCCAGTTCTTCTTTTCCGTTCTACACCCTTGATTTGAGAACTGGCAGTAAATGTAAAATTAGAAGCATATATTATATATTTCTTTTTTTATGTTCATAAGTGTACATTGTGTTACCGAAATGATTTTGACTTTTTTGAGTTTTGTATAAATAACACAACAAATAATAAATTATTTTAAATATACCTTCGTCTTAATGATGGCGTTCATATGCAGACTTTTCCGTGAGCTAAATGACTCCGGGAAGCACTTCTTAGGCATGAGACCATATTTATTCACCAGGTTAACAATCATGTCCCATTGGCCCCCATCATTTATTGGGTCCTGGTAAAAGGGACAGATATAGATATATAGCACATTATTTTCAAATTGTTCATATTCTTTAGTAGCATTCTTCATTACTGAAGGTCGTTAGTGTTGAATATGGTCGCGCTTAGCTACCTTATTGGTTAATTAAGTTTGCTTCTGTACATATGGCATGCATTAAAATGTAAAATAAATTTAACATAAAAATCTAATCTTTTCAACAGTAAATAATAATATTACCTTCAGTAGGAAGTTAACTAATCTTCCATCAAGGGTTTCGCCCTGCTTCGCAGTTGACACAATGTTGTTGAGCCAGTAGTATGAACGCTCTATTTTGTCCCAGAAGAACAGGTAACTGAAAGAATATCGATATTGGCCACGGTGTGTTACTTTTTATAGCTTACAAAATTAGTTCAATTGAGTTATGATTACTATTTACAGCAAAGGAAGAACGTATTCAAGCTCAGGCATTGTAGGCACATGTAATGGGAAGAACACCTTGGTATTGTTAAAACCTACCCTAAATTGTACTGATATTTCTGAGCCAATGTGATTATTATTTTATGTATGTACTTGTAAGTAAGTCAACTTTTCACTTGGGTAGCCGTGATTACAAAGCTTTTTGAGATCTGGATGCTGCCTGGATGCATTATCTAGTGACGCAACGGATCTCTGTTTATGTTACCGCAAGTGCGGTTGATCCGCGCGCTTTTCAACATTCGTTTCTGCTTCTGTTTCCGCTACTTTTATAACGGAGATACACTCGGAAGTTTCACATTTTCAGGAGTAAAAAAATAAAGATCCTCTTGTGTGGTGGAAATTAAGTTCACACAAATACCGTAATATTTTGCCATTAGTACGCCAATATTTGTCGGTACCCCTCCCCCCCAGCAGCGTAGCCAGTGAGCATAAAATGTATAGTTGCAAAGTTGCAATATTGTTTTCTATAGTAGATTTCTAAGATTTCTACTTCTAATCTAGATTTGGTGTATTTGATACTTAATAAAGAAATATATTTGTAAATTTGTATTTTCATATTATTTACAGTTCCGTTTCCGTTTCTGGTTCCGCTAAGACACTTCCGTTGCATCACTAGCCTTATCCAGTACCAACTATTTGAAATGTAACAGTATTTGTAAGTTTGTAGTATTTTTTCAATGAATCTTTACATATTATAAAAGCAGTGTTGGGCTTCAGCGTCCGACTCTCCCAACATCCCTGATCATCATCGTAGGTTCCTTATGCTCCGACGGACTTTCTGTATATGTGCGAATTTAACACTCGCTTGTACAGCTAAGGAAAACATTGTGAGGAAATTGGCATACCTTAGAACCTACTTGCCCATTAGAAAAAACAAATGATTATGCACCACTGTTTTTTAAAGTCAAATGTTTAGTATGGGTAGAAAAGTGCACCAACAATTTATCAGTAAATACTGATAACCTTTAAATAAAGCCTTTTAATAGCTTTATCTGTATTTTGAGAATTGTCAATATATATCTAATGATAAATATTACTTAATAAGATAAAAATACCTTTCAAATTTCATGGTTAATGTAATGAGCACACAAGACACCTACATCTTAGGCATTTTCAATTTCTATTCTTTATAAAAAAATATCATATAAATAAATATAATAATACAACATTAACTTAAAACATTAGAGTGATTGTATGAATAAGCTACAAAAATGGCCAAAACCATTATTGTGCATTGCAAACCAACCTTTGAGAAAATTCAAACTCTTCCAGGCCATATTTCTTCATAAAAGGAAGTCTCATTACATTCAGAGCAGCAAAAAGCCAGCAGCGACCAGAGTTCTCTTGATTTGTTACCGGCTTCCCTTCACTTTCAACCTGCAATTATAAAATTCGTATTTTATGAGTTTTAATTTTGCAAAAAAATGTGTTTATACTTTCAGGAACAATCTTTGCACTTATGTTTATTAAACAAACTGAAGAAATATCTTTAAACTGACCAGGAACAAATAAATGTTAACTTATTCACTGAATAAATTTAAGTGTTCAAAGTATAGAATGTAAAATATTCAAAGTACATACATTGTTAAAAATAACAGTATAATATAGTATTAAAAGTTTTATTGTCAAAAAAATGTATGTAAATATATTTGTATTTTGTTAAACACTTTGTAAAGTAATCTAAAAATTAAATTTAATTAAAATCAATCCAGCCAATATAGTATGTGTATTGGGAAACTAACCCACTATTCATAGTTTATATTGCAAAAAGATAAAATGTTTTATCATTATACTAATAACAAATATTGGTAAGAAATATTATGCTTAAATAAGCATAAATTATGTGGTTGAAAATGGCTTTATTGCCAAGATTGTGAATTTTATTTCCATATGATACTTGAAGAAATTGATATATTATAATATATATATGATATTTATAAATATACATATATTTTAACCAATTTTATACCCAATTTGTTATCTACTATTATAACTTGTAAGTTATATATCTATTTACCACAAACCAATACAACATACCACAAGTGTATTGATAAATCATTTCACAATGATAAAAACAATTATTTGTAACTGCATATATAAATTTACTTCTTTAAGTATGTACATTTTTATACTTTTTACTAAACATTTTATCAAATTTTAGAGTACAATAAACATATAATATCTAAATCACTGAAAAGAAACATTATAAACAAACCAAAAAATTACCTTGATGTTATAAACATGTAGTTGCGTATCCGTCTTTCTCTTACTGATAGCAACTTCAAAGGGATCAAACCTTGTGCATACATTCTGTGCAAGTTCATTTTTTGGGCATTTGTAGAAGTCATCTCTTAGTTTGCTGATATTTTCCAAAGTCAATGGTTCTGAATTTTAGAATATGAACATGTATTTAATTTTGAGAAAGTTGGACATCACAATAACAGAACACCATTATAATATTGTATGGTCCTTTGCCCAAAAATAGAAAAATAATGTTCTCATTGGCATAAAGGCAAAAATTTGCAAAAAGATCTCTACTATCTCATATAACAAAATTTCTCTCTTATCTGTATACAGTCAAGGTAAATTTACAAAATACAAACCAGCCATCTGACTTTTAGAGTTATCTCCATACTTAAAATGCTCCAGTTTAGTAATTGATTGAATACTGTGGTGAAATTAAATACTTTACTTAGAAAGTAACTCACTTCTACAACCTATTTTTATTAGTCTTATAGAATGTATGTTAAAAGTTTTACATATCAATAATTTTGTAAAAATCATTTCATTGTAAACAATTACTTTACTAACAAAATAAACTATAACATTTACTCTTTATTTAAAATAAATTTTCTTGAATTTTATTTTGACAACATAAACACTCACATTTCTTTCAAAGTTTCCTGCTTAAAATCATAAAATTATACAAATAGTTCTTACGTGATGCCATAGTTCGATAGATTTGACCTCGGTAGACACTGTTAAGTTGAAATAAACTTCTCTTCAATACAACAGATGTTATTATTACCATTTACCCGTTCGTAATATTTTTATACTAGGAATTGGAATGCGGCCCCTCCCGCTTATATTATGCACCTCGTCCCCCCGAAAGCCCCGATGGCCGTAACCGCTATCAGCTCACAGCTGTTATATATTACACTTTACAGAGCCGAGTGCATTTTGACGTCAATTGTTATTATGGGATATTAGGACTTCTTAGTATTTATATGAAATTTAACTGTTTAAAAAACAAACATGTCTCTAATTATTATTTATATTTACTCTACAATATTTCCAAGGAATAGTCAATTGCCGTTGAAATGATGTTATGTTATTATCATCAACATCTTAAAAGAGATAGCAACACGATGACGGGTCATAAATGGGCGGAAACTAAGGAAAGATATTATAATATGTTTCATCTCTATCGTACGGAGGTCATTATACTTGAGAGTTGAGACAGACATGTCATTCGAGCAAATATTCACTGAACTTGAGAACATAATGTTAATATTGCAAGTAATATTAATTAGTTTTTATTGTAATCCAATTTTGACCTATTGGAAATTTAATCAACACAATATTTATAAGTATTTAGTTATACATTTAAAAATTAAATATAACAAAACGTAGATTTGTTGTATTTAATCTACCTAGCAACAAAGTGACATGTGAAAAAGGCGGTAAATTTAAACTGGAAAATGTAGTGCTAAGTGAGATCAAAGAGTATATGGTTTTTATTGTTTGTATTTATGAAATATAATACTAAGCCTAGCCTATCATGTTTTTATTACTAATAAATAAAGCGCATAGGTATATAGTTTGATGTATTAAGTAATATACAGATATACATAATATCGTGATTATGCGGTTTCTAAACGAAAAATCAATACTGTATAGTACGAAGTAAGTAATAGCAGTTGACATTAAAATCACTTTATTTGTAAAAATGCCTTATAAAATTTATTTGGTAGTCCGTTTAGTCGTGTTGAGCTTATAACCATAACGAACAAAGATGTCATTAAAAGCTTATGAAGATGCGTGTATGCGAGCAGAATTATTCAATCAACAAAAACCTGACAAGGATGAGTTTTTAGAAAAACACAAATATTTGGATGTGAATGAATTCGAGGAAGTTGACATTAAGTCAACAGAGGTAACATATATTTGATGTTCCTACTACACAATGTTTACCAGACAAGATATATAATATTGGGTTTTTACTCGAATACATTTATATTTTAGGAAACAGCCATATTAAATGATGGACTTCAAGAATCGGCTGCTTTAAGCGAATTAGGAACTATTCTTAATTCCACTCATAGTAAATTGAATCGTCTCAAGGTATGCATACATTAGTGTAGAATTGTAATTGATAGTATAGTGAACATCATTCTTTCGTTGATCTTATATTGCTTAGTTTACACACACTATTACTTGATTCGTTTGCTGGAAAACCTACAAATGCGATTAAAACATACGTAATTAGAAGAAGTTAATATATATTGTTGTATATATTTCAATAATAAGTGTTACGGAACTTTCTATTAGTATCTTTAAGATACTTATTAATATGATACAATTACTATTGATTTAGTTTTTGTGCAAAAGCTTTATTACTTCACTGATTCAAATACCTAAAAAGTCTATATTTATTTCAGGGGGTCTGTGGTACCGTGACAAATTATTTTCGAGTGAAATTAGCATCTAAAGATTTATCATACTCCAGTGATCCAAGCTACATCGGTCAAACGAATTATGACAAAGATTTCGTTTCGTCGGCAAATTCGGAATATGCATCTGTCAACACCGACTTAGAATACAGAGACAATGAAATGACACCGAGGGCGGGAAAAAGACAAAAAGGTGGTGACATTAATTCCGCAATTGAGGATTTAAAACAGATGGAAAAGGCGGAAAATAGTTTTTCATTGGGTGGGATGTTGCAATAAGTAAATTTATTAGTTTTGTCGCCTTCTCTTGGCGAAGCTTAAAGCTTTATACTCGTAGATAGTCAAAAATATTAAAGCTTTGCAGTTGATAATTGTTATATGTGAGTATGTTTCGAAGTGTTGTGTAATTTAGACTAATAAGTTTTTACTCGATGTAGAGACAGATCAGCAATCGCACTTTCCAATTATAACTTAGAACTTTGAGTTCGCTTATTATATGTAACATTAAAAAAGTTCTTGGGTATGTAAGTTTTTTTTTTCCAAAACAATATGTGTATATATCGTTAAAAATGTTGTCATATTACCTCAAAGAATATTATCGCTTCGCGTTTTTAAAATCTTATTGTTCTTCAAAGAATATCACTAAATTATAAATATGTAGATATATAATCAAATATTATGTATTTAAAATTCCTTATGGCTATAATAAATAAAACTCGTGTATAATTTTCTATTGTTATGACTGTAAGAGTCAAATAAAATTAAAAATGTATTTAAACAGTTGCTTTATATCCTCTAGAATAATTGAAAAGTCTGTGATTTGTTACCTAGAAGATATTTTATTACGATAATTTAATAATTGCGTAACTATACACAGTATTTTTGTAAATTGAACATTTATTAATATATTAAGTTTATGTTTATTTATATAGGTTAAATAATTTCACAGTAAAGTATGTAATACAAATTCTTTATGTCCTGTCTAACGTAGACTGTTTTTTTTGGAATGGGTATGTTGCTTTTAATCTAATAAATAAAATTTCGTTGACTTTCCATTTAATGTAAGTCTCAACAAAATGTGTACACGATGTAAAAAAATTACTTTAAGTTTGTATCATTAGCTAAAAGTCCGCTAGATTTCATTATATTGTGATATTAAGCCTGTTAAATTATTTATATACGCTAAACATAATAAAGCTGGTTAAAAAAAAGACTATTCATTTACCATCAAAAGAAATGCGTCTTCCTGATCCAATAAAACGGCATTGATTGATCAAGGCCAAACAAAAACTGAGTGACTGAACCATGAAGTAATTGATTATAAAAGATCTGATATTGTTTCTCAACCTACTGTGCTCTGCGAACCGACGATGTTACTAGTTCTTTTATTATCCTTATTTACTTTCGGTTTAGCCACTCCTTTTCATAAATATCCATTTGTATTTCTATTAGACGTCGGAAATGAAGAGCTTGGTACAGCAAATACAGAACAAATAAAGGTTTCCGTATCAGGAGGGGTCTTAGCCCTAAAATATCCAGCAGAAACTGATGGTCCAATTATTGGTCATGTAAGAGTTACAGGAATCGATTTTGGTACTGACCTGAAAGCAAGTATTGTAGAAGGCGGCCCTGGATATAGGTACGTTGTTTTGGTTCTAATGGGTGCAGCTGGAAAACAATATGATACAGTGATTACCGTACAAACTTTAAATGAAGATAAACGATTAAGTAAAAGCATGTCTAATGGCTATAAAGTTCAGGAAGATACAAATGATAGTGCAGAAGAAGTCGACAAAGGGTCTATTAACTCAAGGTTTGATGAAAAAATGAGTGCAGAAATAACCAAATCAGAGAGTCTAACATACGAACAAAATGAAGATGATTTAGATGAAGCCAATAATGATGATATAGACCAATTAAGTTCATATAAAAATGTATATAGTAGAAACAAAGAAACAAGAGAAAGTGATTCGGATATAATTCAAAGTGATACAAATTATAATATGAAATATGACAGTGAAATAGAAAATAATGATGAAGAAAGAAACATTGCAGAGATTCATGATAACCCAATAGAGAAGAAAGCTTTTACTAATGCAGATAGGACATATGTTTCTGTGTTACCTTTAAATGTGTTAGCTGGATATGGTAGGGTACCTGGGTTTTATGGAAATATCATGACATATCCACAAAGTGTTATAACACGAGATAATGGCTTAATAGAAAGTGACAATGAGAATGACTATTCAGTATTTAATAAGGACTTAAATAATAATATAGATGATTATGTTTCTTCTGTTGACTATTAGGTAAATTGTAATTTTAATATTCTATGCAAAGAAGTAATGTGTTTGTTAAACGTAAGTAATACTTATCAGTTTAATTTATAGGTACCTAACAAGCTAATGTCTGTGAAAGATGTTATAAAAACTATTAAGTATTGTTATTATTATTAATAGTATATTATGTTATAGCAATTTATATCCAAACCTATTAAACATATATAATTACATTGAAAGACAATTAAAGTAACACGTCTTTGGTAATACGATACATTATTTATTAATGTTACAACAAATTTCTTACATAGTAAGGTGTACACGGGATTCTAAATTAAATTGAAAATATCACAAATACACGTGTTTCAAGGATATAGTGCTACTAATGGTGAATGTTGATATTATCGCAGTCGGTGGTCCATACTCCAATTTGCTCCAAAATTATAATAAATATTTTACGTTTGAATATACGAGTAAATTCTAAGGTTTTGATTGGCACGTGGAGAAATATAAATATAAAAGCAAAATGATTTAAGTAAATTTATTTCATTGCCAATCTAAATCATATCATTTCTTATTCTCTCAATTCCACTCACACAATAATTGTTATATGTTGCAACAAACAGTTATAATGTTTAATATATAAGAGCTTCTAAGATATTAATTGAAATTATATGCTATATGTGATTGAAATCTCTTTTAAATAACCAGATTTAACGGATTGAACAATTAACATAGTTTAAAAAAATCCTACAGATTTTTGTCCGAAAGCTTGTCAAATTTTCTTAAAGTTCTTCATAACTTTTGTACAGAGTTAAACACAAGCATTGTGATTTGGCATACATTTCTTTATATCAGAGCAAGGCATATATTTTAGAAGTTGCTGGAAAGTTTGTAATTCAATGATTGCAATTGCGTAAACTGTAGGGCATCTCTTACGTTCGCATAATTTTACTTAGAATAACGGTGAATAGAATTTCAAATCGCAGCTTTTCAGGCAAACATGTCAACGCTCCATTATTCTAATTTTCGTCCGTGAAATGTTTTCTAGTTTCGTTCGAGTTCTTTCGACCCGAATACATTCTCGATTTTTTATCGTAATTTATTTTTTTGTACATTTAGTTGATGTCAATATAACCTACACAGTGACAGCATGGAAAAGGTAAGACTTTATATTTTATTTGATGAAATTTTATAATCTACATTCTACACTAACAAGAAAAATACACATCAAATTGTAAACCTTCAGCTTCAAGTAGTTAATTAGTTTGTCAATAACCAAGAAAGATTTTTGAAGCATTTTGATCAAGGCTGTTATAACAAAAAAAGGAGAAGTATATTTATTATATAGTGGATGTTTTACTGTTTACACCTAAATATGTTAACAAAACAGTTTGCAACTCCTACATAAAAGAAGAACCCAAATGAATTCTCGAATTGAATATTTAGCACAAAAACGGTTTTCGATTGAGATTATAAATTTAGATAGAACCGAAATAGGGCGTCGAGACGGCACCGCTATATGCTGAGTGATTGTGTTTATCGTTGCGTATATTGTGTTATAGTATAAGCAAACGCTACAATTGAATTTATATTGTATTTTTTTAGTTGTTTATAAACGGATTTAAACAAAATTAAATTCACAGCTTGTATAACACGCGATGGATTCTATACTTTTAACTGCTGCTTACTGCTGTGTGAGCACAACTTCTGCGTTGCCTAATTCTGTGCTAAGGTCACAGTGGACTACGTGCGTAATCGCGACGTCTCCTTCCAGGCCTTTTTTTGCGTTGAGGGTCGGCGTCTGGGTTACACTCCCGAACCCTCTCCGCATTCTCTTTAAGTGTAATGACGGCCTCACAGAACGCTTTGAAAGTGTTCCACGGGCCGTCACTGTCAGCCTCCATCATAGCTTTCACTATGACTGGAAGCGACAGATCCAATCCGAAGGTGGCGGTTAATAAACTACGCTCAGAGCTCCACGCCGGACAAACCTCTAAAGTGTGTTGCGCTGTGTCGTCTGCGAAACCACACTCGTGACAAATGGGGGATGCCTCCCTCCTGGCAACCCTGTGAAGGTATCCACCGAAACATCCATGGCCTGTGAGGACCTGAACGAGTCGGTACGAGAGTGCCCCCCATCTTCTATTTACCCACAAGTTGAGCACTGGACGTATAGATGTAATTGTCCAGACTCCTGCCCTGTGATCTTGTAACTCATCCAAAGACACGGAATCCGAATGTAACCCCACAGTGCAAGTTCTCATTTACGTGTGTACTGTACCTACATCTTTTTTGCATTGCACCTATGCCTATACCTTGAGAGACTTGACCCATAAGATAGTTTTTTAGCATTTGTTATATTGCTTTAATCTTTTGATTCCTTTCATAACGGTTTTCCATGTTCATTACGTTTGTTTGATTATACCGTCGGTACGAATTGTAAGCCTAACTGTTCATACCGAAATAAATTGGGCTGTAATGTCAAGGATACAGTAAAATAAACGAGGTGAGGTTCTTCACCTCTTCTACAAGTAGTTTACCAAATCATAATTACATAGACAATAATGTAATAATAATATATTTACCTTAGTTAAATTGTTTAAGAGTGATAATTCAGATGCAGAACTCTTTAAACTGGACTAAAAATCTATATTTAATTTGTTCGGTTGGAAGTTGGAGAACCGCAGAAACTATTGGTTGGACTTGCAATTCTTTTGGTCATTTACGTCCGTATGTCGAATCAATATTTTTTATAATTTGAGATACGCCACGCTTACGTTAAATAGATAGAATCATAGAATCGCGCTGCCGCGGCCGGCCTTTTAAGAATTGGTACGCTCTTTTCTTGAAGGACCCTAAGTCGATTTGATACGGAAATAGTTCAGTGCTTGGTTCCACATGGTGGTGGTGCGCGGCAGAAATTCCCTTAAGAATTTTACATAGAATCTAACTTATTTAGTATGGACGCGCTGCATTTTCTAACTAATTAATCTTCAAAAGTTAGTTTGTTTCACTAACATTATTGGGGTCATTAGAGAATAGTGCTCACTTACAAAAATTCCCTCATGTAGCTTTAAGCGTAGCGTAAATACTCGGGTGCAAAATTGCACTTCCAGGTACAAAATTAACTGTGAGTCAGGAGTTATTTTTGCCGCAACTTACCCGAAAAATACATTTATTTTTTACTTAGATTTTGCTAATGTTTGCTTTTAAATAGTTAGACGTGTTTAGTTCTTTGGTAAATAGTCATTTTTCAATATCCTTAAAAAATACTGTTTGTTTTGCATAAGATGCTGTTTACATTAGCATTCTTAACGAGGTAACATTAACAGGAAAACAGTGTTACACGCTATCGTAAGCATTAGGAACCTATTCCATTGTCATGACAAGAAGGATGTCCGTGCATCAGTTATAACGTCCATAAACCCCTTACAAAGCCTATGGTTAATAATGTAAATGTGAGAAGAGAAAACGGTGGGTCGTTTCGTTTGATTGTGATTGGTCAAAAGGATCTGTAGTCCAACACGCGTAGACACGACGAGATTCGTCCGTATGTCCAATTACAATGACAGTTTCGTCTTAAGTATTACATTCTCATTAGAATTAACGTATCGATAGTTTTGTCAAATCTAAAAAAAAAAATTTTTTTATAGTAACTAGTAGATGCTATTTTTTGACAGAAACCCATTGATTTTTTATTATTCTATTATGTTTGATTCTAATTTATGTGTTCCTGCTATTTTAAATATTTTGAAGAAATTTTTCGTAAAAAGATAATGCCAATGACTTCTACACAATCCTTATGGATAGTTATGAATGCAGTATGACCGATTTTTTGCGTGAATCATGAAATATAAAAAGCAAAAGGAAGTCGAATATGATCGATGAAAGCGTCGAAGGTTTGTTTTTCCTGAAGAGCCGATGACGGAAGGAGTCGACTGATGTTTGTTTATTGAATTAATTTTTAAAGCGTGAAACGCTAAGGGCATTTAAAATGTAAACGTATTTTAAAGGCTATATTATAATTCCATATAAAGTACAACGTGATAAATTGAATGCAATCGGATCAAATCTTTTAATTAAATTTTAATTGAGGTTATGTTACAGACTACCGGACTGCAGGAGGTACACCTTTTGCACTTGGTCAAATTCCTAGAGTTATTACTAGTTGGTGTTATGTTCTTACTACTTCAAGTATAATTATACAAATATAACTAAATAGTTACCTTGACTAAGTATTGTAGCGTGAAAATGTCTATTATCAATAGTTATAAAAATGAATTGCTGTTCGTTTGCCTCGCTAAGAATGGCTGGACCGAATGGGCTAATTTTGGTCTTGAGGTATTTCTGGAAGTTCAGGGAAGGTTTAAACGGTGATACAACAAAACAAAAATACATGAATAATGAACAATATATTATAAAAACAGAAACATAACAAGCATAAATAATATAATTTTCCAAGACAGTTCGTTTCTAACTTTTAATAAAAATTGTCACTGAAATTTTACTGTTTCATAGTTATCGTATAGAATCTAATCCTTTTCTTTTATCCTCCTTTAATCTGTTTTGAAAGCAGTTTTTTTTTAAATCGAATCTGTTTTAGAAAGAAAAAAAGTGTAAAAGTGGTTGTCGAAATTCATGGCGATTATGCGTCGCGTGTTCGCGAGTCGGAAAACCATCATCTAATATTTACACACCGTAAAAAAGGAAAAGAAAGATTTAATTTGATTGAGTGTATACCTTTTTTTCATTTAATTTAGATAAATATTTTGTACTTAGGTTTGACCACATTTTACAGAAGTATATGTAGGTGATACGAAGTTCACCGGGTCATCTACTAAAGTATAAAAAAGAGCTTAACTTAACTAACTAATAACTTATTTCAGGATTTCTTAAACGTGATCCTTAATGAAGGTCTTGTTCCTATTATCATATACAAGGATATCTCCTTGTATATAAATAACCTCGCTCTCCTAATTAATTCCTCTTTAGGAAAAGATATACTTCAGCCCAATAATAATTAATTA